TTTATAGTTGTCAGAAATTCCCAAACTGAACTCGCTGGTGGCCAGACTGCTGGGCTTACAGAAGATTCAAGGCACCATACTAGGACTTAGGAATTTTTTTTTTTTTAGTTACTGGCTCTGTCCAAATTGAGGTTGAGTCGTGAAGGTACTTAAGTATCACACCATCAGCATGAATGAAGCCACCCTTATGAATGGGAAGCCCTCCTAAAGTAGTCAATAGGAAATGCTATGGGAAAGAGCACCAAATCTCCTCTTTTAAAGAGGCTTAAGTCTTCACCAGCAAACAGAGGTAGAAATGTATTTTTGCTTACCGGACTTTAAAGTGTAGATTCACTTCTTAATTCAAATTATTATTTTGACAAGACTGACTCAGCCCAGCGGTTTGAGCAATGACCTCTGATGCACAAGGCTCAGCAGCAATGAACAGGAAACTTCCAAGAGAGATTGAGGGGAACTAACCTGATAATTTGACTTAGTCCCACAAGACTCGGTCCAGCCACTGGGTCTTAAGCAAGTGGAGGCACTACCGTAATAGCCAGGTCTGGCCATTATTGACTAGTTTCTTTGCTGACAGAGTTACAGATGATGTAAATGAAACCTGCTGTGAACATGAATGCTGGGACTAGCGGTAACGTTTGGCCATTGCAGGACTCCATAACAGCTACAGACAGGCAGAGGGGTTTAGAGTATCTCAGATGCATAAAATGGCAGGCAGGTTCCTCCTTTCCTCTACAGAGCCTTTGTTTCTCCGCAGTCTTGTAAGAGAAAAAAATAAAGAAATAAAAAGAGATTACTCTCCTATCTCATAAGAATAAATTCATTAATAAAGCCTCACAATATTGTTACAGTGAGAGACATTTCATTAAATAAATAGACACTTTAGAGCCTATCAGCCAGAAACTTTTGACATCCAAAGAGAGGAGAGCCAAATAAGTGCAAGTGCCAGTATGACTCTGCTTCCCCTGTGAAGATAATAATGTAGATCTACTTCTCCATTTAGCCCCTAGGCTTTCATAGCAGTTTCATAGGATCCTCTTACCATCATTTGAACAGCCAAAGGATAGACAAGAGTTGGCATATAAACACTTTGCTACACTTCCACATGTGAGACACTTCATAAAACCTTCACATTTGAGTTTACCTCAAGGGCATCACATACTTTGCAATTTAGATAAGTTATTATGCCCATCATTTGCTGAGCTCAGTGGAATGCCTGTTTCATAAATCTGAAAGCAGAGCAAACATGGATGAGTGAATAAAAGAACAGATGTAACTTACATAAGGGTAAGTATATAACAAAAGCTGCACTAATATATGTGAATATGAAATGAAGTAAAATTAGCCTAACATATTATATAATCTTTTAGCCAGGCACACAGATTTTCAGTAGTTGACCTCCGCTTACTACATCTCTGCCTTCTGCAACAGCAGGGGAACACTATCTGATGAACTGTGCTCTT